AAAGTTTCCCCTTAGAGGTACACCAAAGCAGTATTTCTAGGACTTCAAATGTGCATATGAATCACCTAGGGATCCTTTTAAAATATAAATTGTAATTAAGTAAATCTGAGGGGTAAGGATCTGAGATTCTGCATTTCTGCCCAAGTATGTGGATATTACTAGGTCCTGGACCAACTTTGAATAGAAAAAGTTTTGAGGATTATTGGCAGACTATATGAAAAACCATACTTTGCAAATGTTAAGATATATATCACTTTACACTGATTGACAATAGTTAGGGCTTCGATTTAAATTTTTAAGAAAAATTCTAAATAAAACAAATTATGTTTCAGAAATTCTTCATGGGAAATGGGAAAGTAGAGAGAAGGAAGGGTTAGAGAAACAGTACTCATCAGGTACTAACTTACAGTCAAAGAAAAGGAAAAAATTCTTGTGTTCTACTGCACATAGAGCAGCATTGGTGAACCTATGGTGTGCATGCTGCAGTGGCCACGCAGAGCCTGCTCTGTTGGCAGCCAAGCTAAGTTGCCCTATCAACACCTGAGCTGCTGAACAGCAGATAACAGTGCACACCGGACCCATGCGGATGCTCAGAAGCCACTTGGACTTTAAAAGTTTCACCATCACTGACATAGTGTGACTACAGATATTGATAATGTACTGTATATTTCAAAAGAGCTAAAAGAAAAGGCTTTGGAAGTTTTCACCACAAAGAAATGATAAACATTTGAGAAGATAAGTTTAACCTTATTTTAACATTACACTATGTATATATGTATTGAAATACCGCATAAATATGCACGAATTTGACATATCAATTAAAAATGTTTAAAAAGCCTAAACTCAAAGATAGTTTTAATTTTTTTCTTTTTTTTTTAGCAAAAGCAAAACAAAACTGGAAATTGGAAAGACAACACAAAAGGGATATTCATATTAAACAATTTTGTTGCTTGGATTCCTTGAAAGATTAACTTCTGTAACACTATCCTAAATAAAAATATGAAAAAAAAATCCTGTTTTTTTTTTAGAAGTTTGTACATTTAGACCTACTCCTAGATATAGCCCATAGATTGTCTTATCCCAATTAAAACAGAAATATTAAATTACAAATAGAAGAAGACAAGTGGCTTTAGGAACACTGGAAACAACAAGAAGAGATGATTGTGAGGAAAGAAATTACAAACTACTAAGGACAGAAAGTGTAGCTGAGTGATGCAACACTTTCCTGGCATGTACAAGGCCCCAAGCTTGACCCTCAGCATGAAACAACATTAAGCAAAACCACAGAAGTCAGTTGTATAAATGCCCTCACTTTCCTATGTAAGTGTTCTTTTGCATTGGCACCGACATTTTCTGAAGGAAAAGAACAAAATTCACAGGTATAATCTTTGATTTATAAAGTATTTCTGTGTTGCTTATATAAAGTACAATCAACAATGCCCTGTTCAAGGAAAAATACATTCTCTCTGAAATTCCATTCCCCAAACGTGTTGGCCAATTTTTCATCATCGTAGTCAGTCTGCTGCATTATGTATAAACAAGTTTCATCACATATCAGAAAATGCATAGCAGATCCCTCCTGTGAAGCAAAACCTTTCCAGTCTTTTGGATTTTGTGCAGAATGATTCACTGTCCTGGACCCAGATTATCTCCTTACTTGTTCGTATGACAGATCTCTTTCCAGCAGTTCTGGAGCTATCATGATTATTACATTGGAACTTGGCTTCAAAGATGCCAAATACTCATCAGACTCACCTTCACCTAAATTTAATACTTTGTCTTTCTCCTTCTGTCTGTTTAACTTCTCTCACCTGATTATGGTAAGGGTATTCATGATTCATAAACCCAAAATGCCATTGTTAAACAGCTATGCATGAAAGAAAATTTAGTGTGGTTCTACTAGAGACAGAAAGAAATGATAAACAAGGCAAAAATTTGAGTAGCATTCAATGTGTTTTGGCAGTATCATTCCTTTGAAATATAAATTAAAAGTAAAATTACTAATACTAATTACTAACCAATTCCTCATCCCAGTCAATACCAAATCATGAAGCCACTTAAATGCAAAATAGCAATGAAAGAATTGATTCTGAAAACATTTGACATGCAGACACGAGAAATATTTAATGATGCCAGAACTGTACACAAGGTAGGGAATATCACACACAGGTAGGCTGTTCTTTGCTCTAGTCCTGGGTAATTTGGGTCGGCTGCCCCCAAGTACGTGGCCTCATAATTAAGCAGCTCTTCACTTGCTTAGCTTTTTACCTGAGAAATCTTGAAGCTTTGAGGATGACTGAGCAGTAGCTCCCCTCCACAGAAACACTTGTGTGGTGCACCAGTCATGATTTTAAATGGTGGAGATAATTGCTTAATTCAAGCTGTAGCAACTGGCCAAGTAAACATGTAGCAGCCAGGAAGCTATTAGCATGATTTTAAGGCAATTATTTCATTAGTGTTTAATAGTCTCCAATTAGTCTTCTCTGACTATCAAAGTTTGAATGTGTGTTTGTCCTCCAAAAATTCTCAATGTTGAATAATTCAGAAAAGCACCAATCCCATTTTTAATCCTGGTTGTACTGTATATGGACCTACCAAATCTTTACAGAATCATGGGGGCATGAAGGAATATAGATTTGGTGATGTATGTTGTGTGTGTGTGTGTGTGTGTGTGTGTGTGTGTGTGTCTGTGTGTTTCTCAGAAGTATTGAAGTGAAAATGGGAAGCTTTGCAGAGGATCCACTTTGGATACTTTATTCACAGGATTTGGAAAGCAATGGAAATTCCCATGGCATCCTAATGCCATTATCTTTATGTCTCACTCAAAGATGACCAGAATATCAAAATCTCTGACCCCAAGTTTCCACTTTGTCCCATGGGGAAAAAAGAAAAATTATCCCATGGGTGGTAATGCTTAGTCCCTTGTCTCTTCACCCTGGTTGGAACTTGCTGCAGAATTATCCAGACACAAATCCTAAACTCTTTCCCTCCAAAATGCATAGTAGATCTTCTGTAAAGTCCAATTGAGAGGTTAGCTCAATAAACTGATTGTAGGTTTATTTAGCTACACTGAGTTTCTCTTTTTTTTTTTCACCTATGAAATGAAGATAAAAGTACACTTCACAAGGTTTTTAGAAGGATATGAGGTATCATACATTAACAGGGCTCTGAAAAGCGAAGTGTTACAGAAATGTAAGGTAGATTTCGATGGGGCATCCTGTCATCCCTCAGAACTAGCTATGCCAATTTAGGCTTTTAACTTCCATCCCAGGCCTTGTCCTTACCTTCTCTGTGTACACAAACTCACAGATGAGAAAGTAACTGTTAACAGCCATATACAAACTAAGGAACAAAGGGGATGGGAATGTCTATGGAGTGGAATTTTGCCAACAAAGTTGTGAATTTTCTACTGTTTCCTTCAAAAGAGCAATCCCCAGGTAGCAGAGTAAGTGCAGAATGGAGAAGCTATGTTGTTTATTTCTTTGGAGATCTCTGGGCCCTTGGGAAGTTACCTATTCTAGAAGGACAAAAAGAGACAACCCTTTCTGGGAAAAGTGCTCACAGGGCTGCCCATGCCTGTCGTCTTAGCCTAGTCGTCACCTAACCAGCAACCGCTGACTTCAGTTACTGAGCAATTCCAGCGCTCTTCCTGGAGATTTTCAGGAAAAGGTTTTTCTTTGGGGGAAAGGAATATTTTTTTTTTCTTTTGGATTTTTTCGCCTTCTTCTTTTTCTTGTTCATTATGTTTTCCCTCAGTGACTGAGATGGGGCATTGGGTGGGCCAGGGCAAGAGAAGAGAGACCAGAAGGTTGAACTTAATAACCCAGCTCTGCTCTGGATGGGAGGCGGACTACCCATCAGTAGTCTGCCCTCCAACCTGGTCCTGGAACAATCAGGTAGGTTCTCCTTCAGCCCCGGTGCACAGCTTAATTGGTAGGGAAATAGAACCCTGTCCCTAGCTGTCACCCTTGTAAATTGTCCTGAAACGACTCCCCCTCCTGTGTAACTGAGCAAGGGACTGCTGCCTGCGCACTCATGCCCCAGAAACCTGCCTAGCCCTCTGGTCCAAGTCGCTTGTGCCACGCTGAAGCCCCTTGATAAGCATGCATCTTTTCCCTGCTTCGTCCACGGGTTTTTTCTTCTAGGCTGTCCGGACATCAGCTCGATCACCTTTTCCCCACCATTTGTCCAATAATCCCACCTCAACGTCCCTGATCACGCAGGTTCTCTTTCTGTCTGTCCTGAGCAGCAAACGCAGTCCGGAAGGGTTTGCTTTCCTGACCCGGCCGCCTGACGTTGCTGACACGCACTTGGACCAGACTCCAGACCGTGGCCACTCGGCCTGGCCCTCCGAGTCCACGCGATGAGAGAAACGCTAACCTCTGCTCCTCGCTCGCCCCTTCCGCTCCTCGTCAAGGGCAGAGATCTCGCAGCCGCATGTCCCTGAACTTTCATCACTCTTCGGGAAGCGCTTTGTCTCTTTAAAGGAGACTGAGGACGAATATTAAGGACTGAAGAAGGTTCTACAGGATCATCTACTAAATGTGCTCAATTCCATGCAGGGATGGTCTCCGAGGTCCTCGGGAGGACGCCGAGACTCTAGGACACCAGCTCGCCCTCGCACTCACCGCGCCGTCACCCTGCACATTCAGAAATCTGCCTCCCATTGCCCCGAACGGCAGGGAAAACCACGGGAGGTGTCCGGGGCGCCATCCGAGAGCCCAGCTTCTCCGCCCCAGCCCTGCGCACACGGACAGCTTAGTGCTAAGACCCTGGTGAAAGCAGTCACCTTGACTCCTGGCTCCACCGTCCCTAGAGGTTTGGAAAACGCCAGGAAGCCCAAGCCTGCCAGGCACGTGCCGGCTTGGCCCGCGACCCACCTCGAAGGCGAGTTTCCCTCCCGCGGGCATCGCCGCAAGTTCCCACTTAGTGGCGGATAAAGCAGGGCGGGGCAGCAGGAGCGGGCGCCCAGCGCCGGGCGGGCAGCCTCGCGCGCCTACCTGGGATGGCCAAATTGGTGAGGGGGATGCTGTGGATGGTCTCCGGCAGAGTTGCCATCCAGTCGGCGAATTTCAGCTCGTTTCTCCCCTGAGACGAGGCCATCGTGCAGGTCGGCGTGCCTTGCGCTGATCCCCGCACTCCTTGGTCAGGCAGGCAGGCTGGCAGGCTGCTGCCGCTAATCCAATGTTTGCTTGAGCCCCGGCTAGAGTTTACACTCTGCGCTGAGCCACACCCACAGGATGGCGCAGGCACATGCTAATTTTAATAATTATTCAAAACACCCCATGCTCCCTGAGTGCCTCCGCCAGACTCCACCGGAGCTTTTGTTCCTGACGTCCGCGCTCCAGTGTCTCTGCCTTCCCCTCCCTCCCGCCTCCCTCCTACAGTCTTAACCCTCCTAGGTGTCTCTGCCTTTCCTTGCCATTCTGCAGCTTTCCTTGGCTTCTTATTCTTACTCTTGTATTTTTTAAAAGTTGATTCACCAAGCTGCTTTTTCCATGCTCTTGCCCTATCTTTTGGTGTGACTTCCTGGTCCTGTATGAAAGGCAGTCTGGATGCTGAACCTAAAATCCTAGTAGACTTTGCGATGTTATTGCCTCCTGAGTAGCAGACTTGAATGCTGGCTTTCAGGACTTTCCATTCTTACCAGTTAGGGCTGCTTTTTGTAAGCTACAACAACAGGTTATCCCTTTCCTCACCCGGAGCCCACAGCCCTGCTTATATAAAATGGTGATCCTTATCACCAATTTGCCTAAGTTTTGAAATAGCTAATAAATATGGTGTCAGGGATAGACAGTAAATTCTAGGTGGTTCTGATTAAGCCCGGCTACCCTGCTCCAGAGCTTTCATAGCAAAGAAGCATTGAACCACATCTGGGGAAATCCATTTCTATGGAGAAAGCTGCCTATGTGCTCTCTGGTTTTATGGTACTCAGGGCAAGATGGAAGCCTAATAGTGGAAGAAAACCGCACATCTCCCAGAGACATGCCATAATTGTTGTCGGTACCATTTGGTGGAATGTATTTGGCATTCAAAATGATCTATGTGATTGAATTTTCATTCCTTGGCAGACTAGAAAGATGTACCTCTCTCAAGAGAAATCACTCATTGAGTTTCCAAAGGACTGTCTAGGTCTTCCTGCTCTCAAATGAGAAAAAGGAGAGAGAGCAAGTCTTATAAATGTGATGAGACCAGCAGTGGCCTAAGTTGAATATATTAGATGAACTAAAAGTATGCAGGGCCTTTGAAGCCTAGGGAGTGGAGATGCATTCTCTCATACAATGGCATATAAATTATCCTTTTCCTAAAAGATGCTATTAGGTTGGAGTAATAAAAGCACAAAGGTAAGAGACAGAGCTATGAAATATAAGAATAATCTTTTCAGTTCAGCAAAACCTATTTAGCATTTTTTAAAAACTCCAGAGCCTACTTATCTTGTATAATTATATTGAGACCAAAAGATATTCACTGTCAATTGGGAAACACTGTAGGAAGAAGGAGAGGAGAAATGATGCCTTATCCTTTTGATCAAATTTTCCATTCTCCTCATAGAATCAATTCATATGTTTAAGCAGACATGATAGAGTTATCTTTAGGGATGAGAATGGGATATATGGGATTTTTTCCCCCAAGCAAATCTTAATATTCATGCTAACACAGCAGAATCTTAACATATCCTTTTAATTAAAATGAGAATTTTGTTCAGTATAAGATTCTTGGTCAATAGACTTATAATCACCACTCTTCTGGCTAATGCTGGTGTTCTCTGGGTACCATTATACAACAAAGTGCTAATCTGGGAGTTAGTTAATCTGGTTCTGAACAGTTTAAGCAAATCCTCTAGTCTGTATCAGCACCAATTTTCTCCATTATAAAATGATGTTAATAACTCCAAGATTTGTGGTGAAACTTTCAGAAGAAAATGTATGCATATTTGTTGAAATCACAAGTTATGTGTCTTTACCCCTTTTGGACTTTTTCAGATAGCCCTTGCCTTCTAAAGTATTATTTTTCTACAGAGTGAAATAATTATTGAATCTGGGGAATATTATTTAATATGATGCATTTTAAGAACCTAGCCTCTTCAAATGTGCTGAGTTTATGTGTCCCAAAAAGTTTATAAAACATGTTTTTAAAAAATTAAATCACCTTGAATGTTGAGGAAAATTTCCTTTATAAATAACCATGTACTGCCTTTTGGTAAAACACATAATTCCATCTCCCTTTTATCTTTAGTGAATTTAAGGATTTTTTTTTTAGTGTATTGGTTTAGTGTCAATCATTACCTTTTTCTGCAGGTCATCCACCAGGACAAGGATGAAACCTAATTGTTCCAAATTTCTTTCCTGGCTTTGTAATTAGTGTATTGGAAATATTTTGTGGCCCAATTTCCCCATATTTCTATCACCATCCCTGCTACCATTTGCTAAATAAAATTAGGAAAATGAGTAATTTCTCTGAGCTTCAGTTTGGCCACTATATTAGTTAGGTTTTTCCAGTCCAATAGCACCAGCAGTACATAGAGAAAGAAAGAGATTTATTTTAAGAACTGGCTCTTATGATTGTGAGTGCTGCTGAGTCTAAAATCAGGGCAGACCAGCAAACTAGAAACTTGGGAAGGAGTTCTATGTTATAACCCTGACGGAAAAATACTTCGAGAAACTGCAATGTTTTCTTCTAAAGCTTCCAACTGATTGTGTAAAACCTACCCATATTATAGTAGGTAATCTGTTTTACTCAAAGCAAATGATTATGAATGTTAATCTCATCCACAAATATCTTCATAGTAACATCTACTCTAGTCCTTGACCAAACAGCTGGGCATAATAGTCTAGCCACGTTGACACAAAATTAACACATGTATTGGCACACTAAAGAAGAAGATGCTACTAATCAGTAGGTCCTTTTGGGACTCTATTATCATATAATTCTGTTTCCTTTATGATTCTTTCTCATACAAATAGCTACTGCAACTAGAAAGAGAAGGAACATAAATATTTTCCTTAGACTTTTAATCCATACAGACAATTCAAAGTATAGATCAACAATTTCATCCCAACTTGAGAAATACTAATGATTTTTAATTATGACGTTCATAATAGCCCACCTCTAAAATCCAATTCTGTATAGCATAAATGAATAGAAGAGAATAATTTATTGTAGTTCACTCATTCTACCACTGAAACTTGCTCATGTGATCTTGTGTTGTACATCAAACTCATGCCATGCTAACCATGAAAACATTGCTATTCACTAAGAACATTTCCTCACTTTGTACTCTCTTTCACTCTTAAAAATCTAATGGCTCTTTGCTTTGTGTTTTTTTATTTCCAATCTCTTAATTGTTAAAGATCTGTTTTATTTTTAAGCTAAATTGATGATGAATTATACTGTAAAAAACAAGAATTCTTATAGGTCAGAAAACATTAGGACACATTTCAGTTGAATAGTATTTTAAAAGAGAAAGTGCTTCAAACATTTCAGCCAGATCAGTTTTTAAATTACCATTGTTCAGAAATATACACAAATAGAGTCAAATTGAAAGAAAACATACCAAAGGCAAGAGACACCTTTGTAAAATTACTGATTATTAACCAATTTTTTACTGTTCTCTACAACTTCTACATTATTGTATTATTTGACTTAAAGTAGAAAACAGTGATAAGCCTCTCTTCCTTCCACTATTTTAACTCTACGGAGTTTTCTATCTTACCTCTTCTTTTCCCTTGTATCTACACCCATATGTCAGCCCAGAATAAGCTAATTAAAATTTATGACTATAATTTAGTGGCTGAAATCTACAGAATCTACGCAGTCTGAAATCCTGGACTCCTATCTATGCTTTCCTGGGTAAGTATTGTGTGTTTTTTGGCTATTACTAAAGGTACTTCAGGATGGGATTGGAGGACACTATGAAGATGCTATGAAGCTTAAATTAACTGAGGAATTTCATTGGAACAGAACCGAGACAGGTAAGCTTGATTTTGCCAACATGATTGGCTTGGGGCCACCCAGGGGACTGGTGGAGTACATTTCTGGATGTGTCTATGTGGGTCATGAGGGCATGACCTTGAATTCTGTATCTGGTCCCTCACTCCTTCCTCTGTGGTGCTGTTCCTCTGCTTTTCTTTCTGGCCATGATGAACTAAGAAGCATTGGTCCCCTATACCCTTCTGCAATGATGTTTCTGCCTTCAGGCCTAGCAACATGTACTGAATACTCTGAAACCATGAGCTAAATTAAACATTTCCTTCTTTAAATTGTGATGATGGGTATTGTGTCTCAGAAACAGGAAAAGTGACTAATACAAGAAGGGAAGCTCAAAAAACTATATTTCCATTGCTATCGTTCTTGCTACCACTGTGCCTTTGCTCATGCCTATAGTATGTGCTTTAGGCTATGATCTGTCAAAATCCCTTCTATACTAACAAGCTACTCTTTGCAACTTTCATTGCCATCCATAATAAAAAGTATCTTTCCTTCCTCTGTTCACCATTCAAGTTTCTTTATAGTTGTTTTGTAGCATTAAGCATAACTAGTCTTAAAGCATTGTGCAGGCAGTAATGGTCATATTTGATACTTTATAATGCCTCCCACAGTGCCTCAGACATAATAAGAGTTTATTCTAATCATTTGATTTACTCATTTATTATATAAATATTATTGTCTATTATGGTATGTGTTCTGTTTTGGAGAAAGATGACATAACAAGTCTTTGAAAGGTATGAATTTATGTTCTAAAGAAGAGAGTGTTAAGTGATAGCTTAATGGCTAAATTAATGAATGATACGGTTATATGTTTCACCTCAATGACAGAAGGACCCATTCAGTATGCCCATTTTTAGCACTTCACCAAGTAACAAATCACCAAGACTTATATTTGGTGTATTTATGAAAATACATTTTGAAAGAAAAATTGATTCAGAATTGTTTACATTATAACTCCTAACTTTCCCCCCTTGTTGCTATCTTGGTAAAGTCAGTGGTGACATTTGGAAATACTATATATTTTTCTACAAATCTCAAGGATCATTACTATAATGTTTGTTTTCTCAGAGCTTAGAATTGGTAGGAATGGTGGTAGCCTAGGAAGGAAAAGGAAAACTGTTTCAAGTTCATGTGCAAAATCATAAAAATGCTAGAAATATTAGTATCTCTGTTACAAATTTAGGACCCTGGTATACCATGGCTCACAACAGCGTTATTCACAATTTCCAAAAGGTGGAAACAACTCAATTTTTAAGATCATTAAAAGTTTTTGGTGTTGGGTGTATAGTGGTAACAGCTGTACAAAAATATTAAAGCCAATCAACTCTGCACTTAAAAAAGGTTAGGATGATAAATTTTATGCTGTGTATATTTTACTACACTAAATATAATCATTGACTCTGTTGGATAGAAGGACCATTTTTAATCATGTATAAAGTTTCTATTTATTAGTAGTTTATCCTCCAGCCAGTAACAAACAGGTATACAAGTGAAGTTGAACAAGCTGGGTTTATTACTTGTTTCAATGAAAGAGAATGCTCATCATGATACCCCAGGGAAAAAAGAATTTATAGAATTTGGCCTCATGTTAGGTGACTTGGGGAGTGGCTTAAATCAAAACTAGGTTGAA